AGGAGGGGCCAGGCCTGGGCACTGTGCAGCAACATTACTCAGGGTAGGAGGACCTCAACTGCCTCTTGAAACAGGAGCAGCGTTGGGGTTGATCTCCAGTTCCCTTTCCCTCTTCTGGGATTAGGTTTCTACTATCTGCATTTTTGCTGATGTCTGTACTGCAGCTAATGGCCAGCTCTGGATCCATTAGTTCACCATGTCCTGGTCTCCGGATGTGCTCTGGGCATCAATACCTGTTTCACCCCTGCCATTTCCTGATGCTTTCACTACTGTGGTCTTGTGGCAGACAGCAGTTCCTGGGGTCAGAGCCAAAGAGGATCAGCAGCTATGAGCTCCAGCTTTTATCTAAGTCAGCAAGCCCTCCACCAACTCCAGCTCTGCCATCAGCACAGCTGGAACACCCAGCACGCATCATGCCCATATAGCAAGGGGTGGGAATTTCATCCTGTGAAGTACTGACACCTCAAGTTTCCAGCTAGCAGAGTCCATGTGCATGGACTAACAAAAGATTCCACCCCCATGCCCCAAATCTCCCTTTTTCCTTGAAATGCTCTTGAGCAACCTGCACCAGGGGCTGCCCGCTGGTGGGATAGGGGAGACCATATCCCACCACATCTGGCCAAACCTACCCCCCTACACATGCTTGTGGAGTCTCCATCATCTCATGCAAAACTAATTAGGTTAATTACAGCAAAAAAGAAGACAAAGGGACTCCAACAACCTCAGATCAGACTTTTCTCTGCCTGGAAAAGTTCACAAGCAGTATGACACTGTCCTCCCTGCCACCTCTGAGAAGGTGCCAGGGGCATGGCTGTGAACCAGGCCCTCAGGTGCCTGCCATGCATTGTCGCCAGCAGAGCTGGGTAGGTGTTTTCAGCTGAATAGTTATTGATTGAAAACTGCAGTTTCCAGACAGCTCAGACCTATTTCCTCTTTCAATACAAGTTTTAGACAAGAACAAAATGCTTTGTTTTCCAAGCAAAAAGTCTCATTTTGCATTGTTTTGTTTGTGATTGAGCAGTGTTACATTTAAAAGAAAAGATAAAGGGTCTCTCAAATTCGTCTGTTGTGGTTTTTTTCCATCCAGCTTTTCATTTTGGGCACTAAATCAAGCAGTTAGTTATTTGTTCAGCTCTGCTCTCCAAACAAGCTGAAATCATCATGAGCCAAAGCCGGAGCAGCTCTGCCCAAGCAGCAGTGCTGAGGAGGTGTTGATGTTTTTTGTGCTGCAGGCTCCTTTCAGGCCTTAACTCGAGCTCCCTTGGGACTAGCAGGCACTCACCTGGGAGGAGGAGAGCAGGGTCCTCAGGTGCCCCACTGAAAGGGCATCCACCTGCCCCACTGAGCAGTGGTTCAGGACACACAAGGTCACCACCCCTGCTTGAAGGACATGCTAGAAGCAGGGCTTCCCATGCCAACTGCCCTCCACAGTGCAAGCACAGAGTCATAGACTATCTTGAGCTGGAAGGGACCCACAAGACTCATCGAGTCCAACTCCTGGCCCTGCATAGAACAACCACAAAAATCACACCATGTAACAGAGTATCATCCAAACACTTGAACTCAGCCAGACTGGGTGCTGTGACCACTTTCCTAATGAGCCTGTTCCAGTGCTCAACCACTCTGTGGGTGAAGAACTTTTTCCTAATATCCAACCTAATCCTCTGCTCACACGCTTCATCGCACCATGGTCCCTCACTAGTCCTACTGGTTCTTGTGACTAGAGCAACTGTTCCAAATGCCATCTCTTGGAATGCCAAACTGTAGTCTGGCAGCCAGGAACACACACAAGGCACCTGACAAGAAAAGGCAATTCCTTCACTTCCTCTGCAAATCCCTTTTTCCTTCCAGAAAAGCAGCTGTGCCAAAGGGGAGGATGCTGCTCACAGAGAGCCACAGCTCATGGATGCAGCCTGGTGCCTCTTCCACCAGACACTGGCCCAAACTGGGAACTGTGCTTAAGCAGCCTATCTTCCTTGTCCAGAGCTATTCCTGGCATCAGTGCCCTCAGTGCCCAAGCAAGGCTGAAAGCAGAACTCACCCACACAGGAATGGAACAACTGCACTATAAATAGCAAACCAGGATGGCTCAGGATAGGTTCTAAAAATCCCAAGCAGCAATACTGCCATCCACCCAGGGTGCCCTGGACACTTTGTAAGACCTGAAGCGATTCCTGAGCTACAGAGAGGCTTACACATTGCAACAGTGTGGAGAAAAAGCTGCTGTTCAGGCTAAGACAGCAAACTTATATACAAAAAAGCATATGGGGCATTTTGCATTTCGGAAATGAAGTAGTGACTGATGGGGGCAAAAAAAGGACAGGAAGTGGATCCCAAAGGGGAAGTAGTTCCTAAAGCCAGGCAGTGGAAAGGAGAACACCCCCAAGACCCAAACTCCTAACTAACCATTCCCAGCACTCCTCCTCCTGCTTCTCTTTGTGTTCCCATTCCTGGGGCTTCTCGCACTGCTGAACTAAACCCTGAACTTGCACACCAAAGGACAAAGGCAGGGAAGAAACAGCATACCTCAACTCAACCAAGCAGCAGATGAGGGGCTCAGGACAAAAGTTCACGTCTCCTACAATCCACAGCCATCTCTGTGCAGCACCCAGCCTTCACCAGGAGTCAGACAAAGGCATAAGAGCTCAGCCCATCCTGTCACCATCAGGGTCAAGTTTCCCTCCTACTTCTAGGAAGAGTCTTATCCTTTCCACCACACTTGTCCTCACTACTCCTTCTTCCCTGCTGGTGGCTCCATCCAGATTCACAAATACTCCACCTTCCCCTTCTCAGTGACAGCATGTCTTTTCAAGGGATTTCAGCCTCCACAGATGAGGATAGGACCAGCCTCATGCAGCACTGCCAGGCACCAGCCTCCCACTCTCAGCAGGGAGCCCTGCTCTTCCAGAAGTGCTGCAGCATGGCTCACTTGGGCATACACTGGGAATAAGAGCACAGAAAAGACTGTTGGGAAATTGGGAGAGGAGTGTATGCACAGAGAAGGCACAGACCTGAACCAGATCATCCAGTATATAATCACAAATGCACGCAGGAAAGCAGTTGCTTCCTCTGACAGAAAGGTTGTTTTTATTAGAACAGGAAGACAGCACTCAAAAAAACCCCAAACAAAACCACCAAATCCCTGCTTTATTGCTCCTAGAACACCAAAATCAGACAGAGCATAAGAAGCAAAGACACCCAGTGCTGACTACAAACCCACCTTGAGAGTTTTGGAGGCCCACAGCTCATTTTGCTTCCCCCCATGACTCTCCTCTCACCCCTCACCCTTCCTCCTCTGCACAGCAAGCAAGGAGTGGTAAAGGTCTCAAGTTTAGCCAAGTTTCCACTCAGGGAACAGAAGCTTGATAACAGACTGGACAGGATGTGAGCACCCATTGAGGAAAAGGATTAGTAACCCCCTAATCTGCACATTTTGGAGTCTAAGCACTTTACTCTGCTCTTTAGTTAAACCACGGAGTGCAAAGATTGCCAGAAGTTGGAGAACACGGAGGAAGAAGGAAAGGAAACAGGCTGTGGCTTAAAGGCTGTTCCTTGTGGCTTAATTGCAAAAAGGGGGGCATCACTAGTAGGGATGTATTTTACCTTAAGTGCTTTATACCAGAGCTGTTGAGCATCCTGTTGCCTTCCCTGATCCAATCTATGGGAGGGTTGAGGTCAGAATGAAGGGGAAACTGTGCAATGGCCTGGGGATGACAAAGGATAGAACAAGGGGATCCATCAGACTGGACAAAGCTTTACCTGTGGCAGCTTTGTCTGGCTGGCCACAACTCCTTCCTGAGTTCCCTGCCTCCTGGGAAACAATACAAGCACCAGAGCACCTTTGTCTCCACTTCACAGACCTGTCTGCACAAAAGGGCCTTGTTCCAGCACTTATCTGGCTCCAAGGTAGGGAGGGGCCGGTGCCTCACTGCCCTGGCACCCAGGCAGGATGTTCAGCTCCATGCCAGGCTCCTTTGGATCTGCCTGGCAGGGGAAAATTTCCTGACACAGGTAAAGAGGGAAACCTTTTACCACAGTCCATGACAAACAAACCAGTTCAAATAATGGCCCGTTTCCCTCAACTGCGCTCAGGTCCACTGTGCCCATGCCGAAAGCAGGTAGCACGCCTGAGCCTCTGGAAACTACCTGAGCAGTGAGGACAGGAACCCCACAGCACAGGGAGAAAGGCAGCTGGTGCCATATCTGGAAACGGGAGTGCCAGGGAACGGCCTTGCCTCCCAGAATGCTCTGCCCCACCAGACAAAGGCAGAGGGGTGCATGTGTGCAGGGGCAGCCTGTCACTCCTCCGTCCCTCTCCTCCCTCACTGCTATTCTTTGGAATTCCCCTCTTCTGTTTGCTTTGTTTCAGACCTCAATGAACAGGAAGAAAAGGGAAGGAGCCTTGACAAATCCGATCAAGGCACAGACGTGCTGAGGCTCCCTCCTGCTGGCATGCCAAACCCTGCACTAATGAGGGGTAGGGGAGAGAGAGATGGCCACTGAAAACAGTGGCCTCACAGAAACACTTGAGGTAAAGGACAGAGGGAAAAGAAGCTGCTAGGACAGCTGCTGACAGCACAAGCTCCCAGCATTCAGAATGGGGGTCTTCCCATTTTTCCTGGCCCAGGGAGCTTTTTCCAGCTCCTCAGTCCAGGTCCCAGTGACCTACTACCCACTACACTAGAAACAAGCAATAGAACATAGTAATGCCTGGGGAGAAGGATCCAGACATGCACACTGAAGTGAACAGCCATAGAGATGGGATCACACTTTATTCCAAGGATTCATGTGGCAAATCTGGTCCTTCCCTCCAGAGAACTGGGCTATGGGGGGCTTACAAGTGCCAGTGCTTGTGTCTCCAGGACCTCCCCACTGGTCCCAAATACCCACAGACTCAGGCCCTTCTGCCATACACTTATCCTGTTTACCCATTTAGAAGCACTAAAACAGAAAGGGAGCACCACATGTAAATGATCTGCTTAACACATATGGTAACTAACCTTTGAAAGCTGCCAATGTTGCAGGAGTAGCTGGGAACAACTGGAGAAGTTGGCAGGCCCTGGTGGTGGCTGTGGGACTCCCTTTAACCAAGGATTCACAGTTTGAAGGGCAGATAAGACATCTCAGCTGTACTTGAGGGGTTTGGAGCTTGCTGTCACCTGAAACCCAAAAGACAGTCACGTGAAGAGCCACTGCATAAGAGAGCTCTGGGGACAGGTCCCTGCACAGCCAAGAGTGTCACAGATCAATGGCACTCAACACCTTGGTCCTGTCCCCTTCGTCCAGCCTGTCACAAAGCACAGCTCAATGTCACCCAAGGCTACCCAGACAGCCCATGAGAGAATGACTATTTGAGCACTGCATGTTCCTAGTGGCAGATCACTGCACTGTCCCGTAGCACGTTCCCCACCCACGCAAGGAGGACTGTACACGTGTCCTTAGAATTGCTGGCAAAGCCACAGCCACTGTATTGCATCGCAACACATGAGTCTTCACACCAGCTCTTCAGCAGGATGAGGAGCTGGGGGAGGGATGCAAGTTCCCTGGCCCCCTCCCAAACATGATAGCAGTAGCAAGTGTCTACCTTGTGAGGCAATGAAGGGATTAACTATCACATCCAGTAACCCGAGCCCCCGTGACATATCCTGGACAGTCCCATAATGGGAGTTAAGAAGGTCTTTCTAAATAGATGCACACAGGGAAAGAAGGGGGGTAAAGTCAGAAGGGAGAGAAAGCAGGCAAAAACCACCACACAACTTGCACTGCAGAAAGCAGAGAGGTTTGCACATGTTAGTCCTCCTCAGGAAATCCTCTTCCTCTGTTGGGATCTTGCTCCAGCTCCCACAGAGCTGGGCACACACTCTTCACAACTGCAGGCTGAAATGGATAAGCTCTTCTCCCAGGAGGCTACAAAGATTATCGTCTTGTTATCAGGAGAAAGCCCAAACCAGAAGCACAGTCACACCAATATGCTGAGGCAAAGGAATTAGAGAAGAATTGGGAGTTTTGATTTAAAGCCCCTCTATCCACACATCATTGCTCCAAGATGCAGCAGGAGCAGGACCTTAAAAGCAGATAAAAACCTACCAAAAGCATCTAACTGCTCTGTCTCACCTGTTTTAAAACCCCAAACAGAGAAACAAGTGTGCACTGTGCTGTACTGTTGCACCCCTCCAGGCAAAGCAAAACCCAGGCCAACCTGGCACAGGACAATATGACACAAGGGAGGCAACACTGATCCCTACAAAAGCTGGAAATAAAAAAATCACAACAGCTGCTACCTGAACAGCGAAATCCAGCAACTCCAACAATGAAGTACAGCACCACAGCAAAACCCTCCTTCAGCAACAAAGCCTGACACAATTTTTGCTTTGCGAGTCTCCCTCAGATTCTGGCTACAAGGTGGCAGCCAGTGAGAGGACACATACAGATCCTATGCGCGTGTCAGTAAACAGACATCCATCAGGAGATGGATGTCTAAATATGTCATCCCCACTCTACCTGTCCTGATCTGTCAGCTCCTGCCTCAGACCAGGTCTAAGAGTGGAACCTCAAAGATGGATACTTCTGGAGCAGGGGGAAGAGGATATGAACCAGGATGCCAAACCCTCCTGGCACACATCCCTTTTGCAGGCAAAACGCTCTCCCTTGTGCTACCAGAGCTTTGCATTTCCAGGGAGCACTTCAGCAGGTAAGTACCAAGTCCCTGGCACCCACATGGGACAGGAAGCAGAAGCTGCCTGCAACACCACTGAGTAGTTTCAATAGCAAAGGGCTGGAAAAGCAAAGGCCCCTTCAGCAGAGCTAATACTGAGTGGGAGTGCCAGGCACATGCCTGCCACACACAGTAGTGCTGCCCACTGGGATCCACCACAGCATGACCACCAGCACCACTGGGACAGCAAAGTTCCTGTTCTCACATGGCAGGAGCCTCACCTCCAGGGTAGAGCCCACATCACACAGGTGAAACTCAGCCACCAGCAGTTATTTACACAACACTGTGCACAGGACCTGCAAGACCTGGAGACTGGCGGGACTGATTTCTAGGTGTGCTGCCTTGTCCAGGTGGGGTCAGGGGAGCTAGAGTAAAGCTGGGGAAAGGCAGTTGCCTCCCATCCTCCAAAAAGCAGTTGCAGTGTCCTCTCCCTCAGAGCCCAGCTGTATCTGTATCTCCCTTGGAGTGTTTCCATCAACTCAGGCCACCAGAGAACTGCGTGTCCAAAAGTTTTTTCCAGCTGCATCACATGGTTATTAAAAGACATGGCCTCTCCTTCTCAGTCTTTGGCACAGGCAGATTTGAGTATAACAGGAGAGACTGCACATTGCTAATGAATCAGGGAAGAGTGTTATCCAAGTAACAATCCAGGGCTCTAAATGGCTTTCTGGAAAAGGCATCTGGAGGCAGGAGGCAGTCACCATCTCGCAGTAGGGCTCTGCACACATTGCCAGACATGTTGTTCCTCCTGGGAAGCCAAAAAGAGTCTCTCCAGAGATGTCAAGTCTGAGCTAAGCTGGGAAGGGCAGGAGTACACTGACAAAGATCAGCAACAAAATGCCTCCAAGTCAAAACATACATAAAAGGCCCCTTAAGCTTGTTTGACCTGGGTTTCTCTTCCCCTCAGACTACTACTTCAAGTAATAGACCTGTCACCAACAGTTCAGGAACTCAAGGATTACATCCTCAAGTTCATCCCCTGCCAGCTGCTGACTTTCCAGACCCCAGGAGGGGTGTCTGAGATCAGAGGTACAAGCTGCTCAGACTCTTATGCTTCATTGCCTTTGTCTTCTCATTTGGACAGAGCTTTGGAGCTCTCCTGAAAGGTGTTGGCCTCCAGTGCGATACTGGGAGTGAATCAGGCCTTCCATTCTAGGCAGGGCTCATGTGACAGGGACTAAAATACTTCCTGACATCTCAGTCTACAGGTTATTTGGAGCAAGTAATAATTTATCCCTAGCTATCCCAAAGTATGTGCTGAGCTCATCCAGAAGCAAAGAAAATACACGGCCAGACCACGGAGTGGGAGCTGAGAAGGGCAGGAAGGGATGTCCCAAGGAGACGGGGCCAGAAAGGCCACCTCAAGCTTCATGAGAACTGCTCCCTTCCAACCACATTCGGAAAGATCCACATCCCTGAGCTCATACTGCCAGGCTCCTTCCCTCCTGACAGTGGAAGGACAGCAGGAAAACACGGCTGGGGAGAATATCCTCTTCCCACCCCAACTACTAATCTCCCAAGACAAAGCCAAGCATCATTATCCGAGTCTATTCTCCCACATCCTGCTCCCCAGCTCTAACGCTGGTAGGTGCTGTGTGAAAACGTCCTCACCCACCCCAGCACCCTGAAGACATGTTTTGAGCAAGGCTTATGTAGGATGAACTGCCTTAGACCCATGGCAGTGCTTTGCCTGGAGTCTGGCTTCCCAGAAATGGTGTGGTCTTGTGGATCTGAGCAAAGAGTGAGACTCTGGCAGCCAAGCAAGCTGGACTTCAGCACTGTACCCACAGATGGGCTGGCAGAACGTTTGCTTTTTTTTTTGGTTTACTTCTTTTCCTACCATTAGTGCTGAGCTTGCACCCCTCATCATCAGAGCATTGGAACTATTTGGCCTCAGTTATAGCCAGTGGATTTCCAGTAAGCACAAGTCCTCAGCACCCAGACTAACAGTAAGCACTAAGGAAAGAGCTGCTCAATGATCATTCCAGGCACAGTCAAGAGAGAAACTAGCCACTCAACCCAGCCTTTCACCTTCTACTCACCCCCCCCACCATGGGCACTGTAAGCCAAGGCAATTTAAGTCCTGCCCAGTCTCATGGGCTTGCTGCTGCTCTGAGAAGCCACCCCTCCTACAGTGCTTCCTTGCAGGCTATTTACCATAAAAAGGCAGTATGATGCTATTCAAACTGTCCTCCAAAATCATGCACTGTAGGAAGGAGATGAACCAAAGGGGACATGACAGTGGGTGGGAGGTGGGGAGAAGAAGTGGTTGTCAAAATGCTGCTTGCTCAGAGGCAGAATCACACTATCTGTGCTGTTCAGAGTAGCCCAAGGACTTTGTGCATCAAGCTCACCTCTGGCTGAAGACAAGGTGTCTTTGGCAGTCTCCTAGGCAGCCGGTTCTCAGATTGCTGTCTGGCAGAGCTAGAGCTTCTCCTTGAAGGAGAGCAGCTCTGTCAGTCTGCACTGGATATTCCCCTAGAGTCACCAGCAGCACACACCTACCCTCAGTAAGCTCTGCTTCAGACCTCTGTCAAAGGCTTTGGGTGCTATCTCACCCACCTTTGTCTTACACTAGCAGCTCAGCCACCGTGAAAGGCAGAGAAGCTCACAGGTAGCACCGCAGGTAAATGGAAAGTTGGGTCTAATCCATGTGATTCTGACTAAAAAGGTTTGTTTAGCGCCAGACTGCTTGCCAGCAGTATCTCGTGCCCTTTTTGAACTCAGCCTGCTGGAAAACAAACCCGCAGGGGAAGAGGAAAGAGAGATCAGGAAGGATAAAGTGCCTGCCCATGCAACGGTAATTCCCGCCGAGGAAGCCGCAGGCACACACTGTGCCCATTGTGCAGAGGTAACCGGACAGGAGGAAGGAGGGGCAGCTCGGCCCAGCTCTGTGCGCACCCGGGAGCCCAGCGAGAGGCCAAGAAGCGCCTCCTGGCCCATGGGCACCGCCGCCGATCTTTGCCCCGGTCGGCGTGCGGGGCTAGGCCCAGCTGCGGGCGGGGGCCGCGGGGCGGGCAGGGGCTGCAGCCTGGGCTGAGCGGGAAGACGCTCCCGGAGGAGCGGGGGGCAGAGCTGGAGCATGGCACGGAGGGAGGGCGAGAAGCCACGGTACCGGGCACAGGCTGGAGCCCCCTTCTGCAACAGGCTGCAGCCGGGCGGGCCCCGCGCCTCCTCCCGTCTGCGAAAGGGGGTCGGAGCTGGTGCGGCAAACACTGAGCGCGGCGGGGCCGTACGAGTCCCGGGTGGGCTCCGGGAGAGCCGCCACTGCACGGCCCGACCCCGGTCCTTCTGCTCCCTCCTTCGGTCCCCCCGGCCCCAGATGGGGATAGACATTGCCAGGTACAGACAAGAGGATGGCAGCCCCCTTTCCCGAAGCCCCCCGACCTTTCCCAGCCTCTGGGGCAGCGCCTCCCCCTGCCCCGCACCCAGCGGGTGGGCACGGGCCGCTCAGCCCCCCGAGCGGAGAGGGGCTGCCCCTGCCCGGTCGGTCACACCTCACCCTTCCCCACGCAGAGCCCTCGCCAGGTGCCGGGCGACGGCTCTCCACTGCCGGGTAAGCAGCGACCGGGCAAGCCCGCGGGTGCCCACTCGGAGCCCCGTGCCGCGGCAGCACGCCTGCGGGACAGGGCTGTCGGTTACGCTGTTGTCCCCGCCTCCCGAAGAGTCCGGCGCGTGGGCAATGGCGTCCGCTCCACGCTGTTGCCCACGGGCGCTCGCGCTCGCCCCAGCGCCACCAGAGGCAACTTTTTGAGAGGTGCGCAGCCAGCCCCCGGCAGCTCCCTCCAGAGCAGCACCCACGGGCAAGCCCGCAACCACTGGCCGGAGCCGGGCTACAGCTTCATCCGGCCCGTCGGACCCACGCGTGGGCAGACCCCCGTCCCCGCAGTCGGCACTCACAAGGAACGTGTCCCTATCCGAAGGGCCGCCCCAAGCCCGCCTTCGTACCTACCCATGGCTCACCTCACCTCTGCGGACACAAACACGCAGTCCCCGCTCGGGACGAAGCCCACGATCACAACCTTACCCCGCGCCGCCAGCCCGCCGTACCTGCCTGCGCTACCGCTTGCCGCCGCCACACGTCCTTTAACCCCGCTCCGCGCCCACAGTATTTAGTTGCCTGGCAGACGTACATCGCCCGCCTCGGCGCTCAGGCCCGGCTCGGACTGGCCCGGGGCGGGGCCGCGTCCGGGGGCGGCCCCCAGGAAAGCAGCGCGGCGGCGGACGCCATTGGCGGCGGCGGCGGCCTCGGGGCCACGGCCCGTGCCCGCGAGCCGGCCCGGCGTTGGCGGCTGCGCCTGCTGTGCCAGCGCTACCAGGAGTACGTGAGGCGGCACCCGGCCGCCACGGCCCAGCTGGAGGGCACCGTGCGGGGACTCTCCTACCTGCTGCCAGGTGCGGGAGCGGGGAGAGGTCCGGGCCGGGATCTGGGCCGAGGGGTGCGGACACCGGGGCGCAGCGGGGCGCGGGGCTCCCCCGGCGCCGGGTGCTCGCTGATACTCGCTGTCTTCCCTCCGCAGGTCGCTTCTCGGACTCGCACGCGCTGTCGGAGCTGGGTAGGTGGGCAGCGGGGACCGTGCTGTGCCCTTGCGCGGGTGAATGCGGGTCCGCTCCCGGGCCCTGCTTTTCTCCTTGGCTGGCTGCATCCTCTGGCAGCCCATGGGAGGAGTCTACACGTCTTGCTGCCCTCCTTCCCTCGTCCCCTGCCTGGGACAGAGGCAGCAGCGCCGGTTTGGCTTGCTTTCTGTGCATCCATTCTGCGGTGTTCTCTTCCTTTTCCAGTGTACTCTGCCTCCAACCTTTTAGTGCTGTTAAATGACTGGATTCTCCGAAAGGACCTGCAGCAAAGCCTGCCCGTGGTAAGGCTGGAGTGTGTGGGAGGAGGATTTGGGACACATGCTTCTTCCTTGCAGGAGCTTTCAGAGAGTGTCTGTAGAAACTTGATAGGTCTCCTGTGGCTTCTCTTTGTGGTCAGGTATGGAGAGGCCAGAGGCAACCTCTGAATGCAGGTAAATAGCAGCCTTGCCCTATAGCTCCTGTCTTGGAGGAGTGGCTTGAGCACTCCCTGGACTGCAGAAATCAGGCCCTGACTTGCACCAAAAACTCCACTGGCTTTTTTGAGAAGCTCAGAACTCGAGCTAGGCAGAGGTGTTGCTGAATAACTGTTGGTGTTTTCAGAGCAGTGGCTCTGGAGCACTGAAATTCTGATTCTGTCCCTCAGACTCTTTCTTTGCATATGCCATTGAGCAAAACAAACATAAGTACCTTGCTTCTATATCTTGCTTGAATAAGCCCCAGGCTGGTTCCCAGCACTTGTTAGACCCTTTGGGGAATGGGGAGGAGGGTGTTTTTTTCCAGACAAGCCTCTTCTGTTAGAAGCCTGCCCAGTGTGTGAGTTCAGTGTAGGCAGCTCTGGCTGGTGCATCAGGTGTGTAACAGACAAATGCAGAAGACTTCCCTGGTTGTTGAAGTCAAAGAGAATTTCAGCTGCATTGTCTTTATTGATGCTTTTTAATGGATTAAAGCCTGTGGTTGACAGCAGCAGCGAGTTCCCATGTGGAGAGCAGGGACCTAGACTGGAAGAGCACCCACTGTCTCAGGGTTCATGCCTGGAATCTAGATGCTGTATTCAGAAGGCATTCACTCTGGTGTGCCTGTGGAGTCTGGGTCCCCTTCCCTCTACTCCAAGCATACTCTCTCATCAGCTCTGGCCCCAGAGAGGAAGTTTGCCGTGTGTCTCAACTCTGAGATGAGGTGGAGGAGAGAGTTTTGCCATGGAGCACAGTGCCAAAACCCAGCAGGCTTGCCTGCTGTGTTTGTTGGGGTAGAAGGCAATTCAAGATACAGCTGTGATGTTCTCCCTGTTTCTTGAGTAGCAGCCCTGTGTGATACTGTGATGTCTTGGTCTGCTCCTGCTTGGAGCTAGATAAGTGGTCTTGTGAATAGGCTCCGGCTGCAGTGCAGACATTGCTTTTTGTTTCTGGGGCTGTGACTTCCAGGGCCATCTGGTGCTTATTTCTGAGGGTCCCACCAGACTGGGCTGTGTGTGTGCCCTCTTTAACTCCAGAGCAGAACCTCTGTCTTATCACCCTCCTTCTCTCTGTGTTTTGCAGTCACTGCCCCAGCAGAAGCTGCTGACCTGGCTGAGTGTGCTAGAATGCGTGGAGGTCTTTGCAGAGATGGGGACAGCCAGGGTGTGGGGGGAGATGGGCCGGTGGACCATCATTGTCCTCATCCAGCTGGCTAAGTAAGTGCTGTAGGGGGGGAAGGGGCAATGTGTGCTCAGAAAGGGGGTCTGGAGGGCGCTCAGTAGTACCCCAGGAGAAAGACCAAGCAGGACTGAGCTGTTAGTCCCTGAGGCTGGGGGAATTTGGAGCCCCACGGGGTACTGGATACTGTGCCACAGAAGGGAACGTTTACACCTCTCACCTTGCCAGTTGCTCTGAGCAGACCTGAGTGTTTCCCTCTTCTATGGAAGCCACCTTTCCAGTGCAACAGTAGCCCAGCTGCATAGTCTGGTACTGAAGGCTTCCACATGTCTCTTCACAGAGCCATCCTTCGTCTCCTGCTCCTGCTGTGGTACAAAGCTGGCATCCAGATGTCTCCTCCCATCGTGCCACTGAACAGGGAGCAGCAGCAGCCTCTCCACCCTCAAGGTGATTCCATGGTGTTGTCATCATTGGCTTAGTGCCTTGCTGGGCCACATGTCTTGTCCTGCTGGAATTGCTTATCAGATCAGTGGCTTGTGCAGCAAGCTGTAAGGTTTCAGTACTCAAGGCTGAGCTTTGTTGAACTTTCCACCCTTTACAGAGGACAAGTTAGCTTAGTGGCAGGGTTGTTTTACAGTCTAGAAGCAGGGGATGGAGAAGGCTAAGCCAGGAACTGCTGGCTGAACTGGGAGTCAGGCTGCATGTTCCCCGGTCCGACAATGAGGAAAGAGGTCCTAGGCCTGGGCAGTGTCAGGCAGATTTACCTTTTCGCTCTCTGCCTAGTGTTAGCCCCTGCAGGATGGTCCGGTGTGCAGGAGATCAGCTTTTCAGTCTGCTCTTCTTGGTGGCAATGTAGGGGACGGTGCTGCCAGCTCTGGGGTGAAGTGTACTGCTTTGAAGCCTGACTCCTGTGGCTGATTTCTTCTACAGACACAGAAGACAACTCTTCAGGGAAGGATCAGACCTATGTTGGCAGGCGTTCCAGCCGTGTTGTGCGCTCTCTCCAGAGCAGTAAGTAACTGTTTTCAGCCTGAGCTGTTTCTGCTCTGTGCCCCTTATGTTTGACGTGGGTGTGAGCATATCTTGCCAGTGTGGGTGGGTGTCAAAGCAACGGGCATTGAGATGCGTGCTGCAAAGCTGGCACTTAAATTGTATTTTCCAAGTGATCTGTGCAACAGAGACAGCTCTTCATTAGGATTATGCTTTGAGGAGCACAGATCTTACAGGTACCTCTCCCTGCTCTGTCCCCTTTGGAGGCAAGCTTTGAGGGTGCTGGTCAGCCACAGCAGTTGCTATGTCTGCAGCTCTTCAAGCTTTCCTGTTTCACATCTTCACAGTGCAGAAAGCAGTGAGGTGGTGGTGCAGGGAAGCATGGGAGGAAGGTGTCCTGGTTTTGGTTGGGATAGAGTTAGTTTTCTTCCTAGTAACTAATAGAGTGCTGAGTTTTGGGTTTAATATGAAATAATGTTGATAACATACTGATGTTGTAGGGTTTTGTGAAGTAGTGGTTACTCTAAGCCAAGGACTTTTCAGTTTCCCAGGCTCTGCTAGTGAGGAGGTGCACAAGAAGCTGGGAGGGAACATGGTCGGGACGTGTGACCTGAACTGGCCAAAGGGACATAGAATGTCATGCCCAGTATATAAACTGGGGGGAGTTGGCTGTGAGGGGCAGTCGCTGGTTGGGGATGGGATGGGCATCGGTCAGAGAGTGGTGAGCAGTTGCATTGTGCGTCACTTGTGTTCCTTGGCTTTTGTTATCTTCCTTTTTATTGTTGTTGTTATTATTATTTTACTTTATTTCAACTATTAAACTGTGATCTCAACCCATGAGCTTTACCTTTTTCTGGTTCTTCTCCTCATTCTTCTGGTCGAGGGAGGAAGGGGGTGCTCCAAGGCTGGGGAATGAGCTAGCAGTTGTGTGATACTTAATTTCCAGCTGGGACAAAACTTTTATTTGTGTTAGTGACCAAATCTGCTTGTTTCAGCCCCATCCCTGCAGTCCCGACACTGGGGGTCCCCCCAGCAGAGGGAGGAGTCACAGAGCAAAAGAGCGGAGGAGATGAACCAGCCACCCACGCCTCTGGGTCTCCAAGAAACCATCGCAGAATCCCTCTACATTACCCGCCCTCTGCTCCACCGTATCCTGCCCTGGCTGTCTGCAAGGTACCGCCGTGTGCGGTGCCGGCAGAGGGTGCTGCAGGCTTGGTCCTAGTGCAGGGCTTACCCAGGCTTCACTCCCTGCTCTGCTTGGGTAGGGGCCTCGGGACTCCTCCCTTCTCTTACACTTTGGCTGGCCTCAGTCGCTGGAGTTGTGGGTACAAGTCCTCCAGCCCCTTCTCCGGGAACCCCCCAGACTGTCTTAGGGTGTATTCTCCTGCACTTGGCAGAGCTTTGTGGGTAGCTGGGGGATTGCTTGTCTATGTGCCACTTGTTAGGCATCTCTCATCTTTCCATTCCTTGACTGTGTGTTCCTAGTATTGAGTTTAGGAGTGTGGGGCCAGAGATCATGGAAGCCCTGGCTCCTCTCAGCAGTCCTGGACATCTCAAGGTCAGTCTGATAAAGAGTCTTTGTTGGTGCTTGAGCATCACACTTCCCTATTTCCCAATCGTGGGCAGGCCCTACTGAGAGAAATACTCAGAAGGGCTGGTCTTTAGCTTGGAGATTGACACGTTTGCCTGTCTTCTGCAACACTTACCGTGCTTTCTGTTCTGAGCTGGTGCAGTGTGCTCTGCATAGAGCTGAGGGTGGAGGGCTTTAGAAACAGTTTCTTATCACGGCTGGCTGCTGCTACTGTGAGTTAGCTCTCTGCCCTCCTCCTTCCAGTCTGAGCTTGCTGAGTGATCTGAAAGACCTGAACAGGCGAGAGCGAGCGGAGCTGAGGCGACGAACCATCCTACTGCTGTACTACCTGCTGAGATCTCCTTTCTATGACCGATACTCAGAGTAAGGGGCCCCTGCTGGGCTTTTGCTGAAAATTTCCTTTTTAACTGAAATAGCATCAGGGGACTGGGTGAGTAGATCTGAAGAGGTCTGGGTGCCTCTGACCAGGTTAATCTGAGCCCTTGCGTAACACTGCCCTTGCTGTTCATGCATTCAATAGCTGGGGCAGGAGGTGTCCAGCTGGACTTGTTCATATTCTCTCCCTTCTTAGGGGCAGGATCCTTCTCCTTCTGCGCTTGTTGGCTGATTACGTGCCTGGAGTTGGCTTCGTCACACGTAAGTGGGTCCGGTCCCATTGTTATATTCCCATTTCTGTTGGTGAAGAAAAATGAGGGCAGTTGGAACATTTGCCGGTTGGTTTCCAGTCCAGGGAAGGAATTGCAAAGTCCCTAGAGTGGTTAGCACTAGTGCACCCTGTGTTGATGCTTGAGTCATTTTGAACTGGAAAAGGAAAGGATGAATTGCTTCCTGGTTTGATGACAGTAGTAAACCTCTGTGTGCCCTGAGGCTGCAGAGCTTGGTCTCTGCCACATAGGCCTCTTCTCCTGTGCTTCCTTTCTGCCCTTCAGCTGGTTTACCAGGGCCCTGATTTGCAGCCCTGTTTCCAAACTCTTTTCCTTGATCCCTAGTCTGCAGGGCAGACACAAGGGGTAAATGAGTGCTTAGAAGTATTGACCCAGTCAGGAACTGATTGTAAATCAAAGGGTGGAACCAGGACTGTGTTATAATCCTTCACCATAGGATCCCTTTATTATGGGCCAGAACTTCATTACCCCTCTTCCCTGATGATATGAATCTTTGTGGAGTGATTCATGTCAGTGATGTGACATTACATCAGCCTGTCATCATGGGATTACCCTTTCTTTGGGGAGATCACAAAGCTGGCTAGCTCAGGAGCCACTTCCTCCAGTTAGTGATTTCAGACAGGCTTTGGAGCCTGCTTAAGCCATGTGCTACATAAGCATTTTCATTTTACAGCAGATGCTTCTGTGTTTGCACCTGCTCTCTATTGCTGAGTTGTCTTCCCTCTTCCCTGTGTCACAGCAGTGCCCTCCTGACTCTCTCCATGTGGGTTTTCCCCATGCACGTTGTAGACTGCCTCCCCATTCCCACTGGAGCTTGGATATGTCAGCTCTGAGGGAGTGATTGGTGTCCCACACCATGGCCATGCTGACCATGTTTCACATCCTGCTTGCTCCTGGCACCACATCACAATGTTGCCTTCCATCTTGGCAAAAGTAACTAACTGTTCTGTTCTGTGGAAGCGGAGATTTGGGATTGTTGGGTATCATAATGAGAAGGGGGGATACAACCCGTAGACACAGAGCTTCAAATTTTTGCCTTTCTACATGTGTGATCCCTCTGCTCTCTTTTTTCAGGGCCACTGATGGATTACTTGCCTGCTTGGCAGAAAATCTATTTCTATAACTGGGGCTGATGAGAAGATGATTATTCTCTGCTAAGATCATGGCTGGACCTTTCTAAGGAGGGCAAGCAGGCTGGGGGGAGGGATGTTGATAATGTCTAATTCTCAGTTAAACCATCAATGAGAAGCTCCTGTTCTGCAGGGTGGGGAGAGGGGGTGTATGTGATTTTTTTTAACGGATCTAGCTGTGAATGATGGACACTACATGTGTGCAGAGACTCTGGCCACCTATTTCTTGGACCGTTCTGTGGCTACAGTGATGGTGATGGGGCAATCTCTTTTTTAAGCACTTGTTTTTTCTCTTTTTGTACAGCTGTGCTATAATAAAGCCAGGCAGCATAGTGGGTTTTTGGAGAGCATTGTCTCATATGTCAAGGCGCTGCGGTTGAACCTGCAACCTGCTTGTGTTGGCTGTGCTTGGCCGATCTGCTTGGAGTGGACTTGTCTGTCAAATAAACTGACCGATGGGAGAGAACTGAGCTGAATGGCCTCTCCCTCTTTGCGTGGGATCTCCTCATGTCTGGTTGCCAGCAGGTCTGTCTCCGTCAGAAAGAGCAGATTTTGCAGTTGTCTACCCTGGGATATGGTCCCTTAGAAGCCTTTTGCTCTGGCCTTTGTCAGTCAGGGCCCCACATGTTGCTCAGCTGGTGACTGTAGCCTCCATAACTCCTGATGCCTGGTTCAGTCCCCAGATTCCTGGGGTTCCCCTGGCGGTACACAGAGCTGCAGTGTGCAGGCTGCTTTCCTGGCACCTAATATATGCTAGAAGCTTTTGCAGAATGGCTGCCAGCCAGTGCTCAGGGGCTTGGCCAAGGGCAGAGAAGTGATTAATGCAGCAAATACTGCTGTTCCATATTAATAAAGGGCCCAGGAGAGGCCTGTATCTCCTCTGCTAACTGGGGGACAATTGAGGCACCAGCCTGTGCAGTGAGCTACTGTGGAGACTCCCTAGGCAGGGAAAAAGGGGTAGTCAGCTGGTGGCACTGGACTGCCCCACAGACAGCTCCCTGTGCAGTGCTTGGAAGCTGGAAATTGCCAGGTGTGTGTGCCCCAAGTGGGTGTCAGGAGCATTTCTACCTGAACCATGCCTGAGGGATTCTGAGGCTGCAGGGATCGCAGCCTTGTCGCCTCAGCACCCGAAACTGGGGATGTAGTTCCACATGCACATCCCTAATGGGCCACCACAGTTGGGGACCACAGGACTTTGCCATTGTATGTGGGGGGGTGGGACTCTGTTGCCACCTCAGCTGACAAGGCCCTGCAACGTGGCAACGGTAGCTTGGAAAAGCCACGAGCAAGGGACTGTGCTCCCTTTGCTGGGGATTTTAGCAGAGGAAGATGCTGAAGACTGCAAAGTCTGTGAAGTATTGGTGGGGGTCACTCCTGGGAAGGGACAAGGGGGTACTGAGATGAGATGCAGGAGTCTGTTTTTGGAGTGGTTGAGAGGGAGGCAAAGGCAGGTGCTGAGGGACAGAAACAGCCCTGGAGCTGTGGCTGCACAGAGACACGTGCACCAGCACAGGGAGGAATCTGAGCAGGTGGTGGGGCTCAGGCAGGGCTAGGCAAAGGCAGCCCAGGACCTGAAGGTGAGGAGGTAGGAAGGGGTAGCAGGAGCACCTGGAAGGGACTGTGTCCCCTGCCCCCCCCAGTGGGAGTCCTGGGCAACTGGGGTGGCTCCTCTGTGACCTCACTGCAGAACTGGTGGAACCTGTCAGTGTGCACCATGCTGCACTGGCTTCTGCTGCTCGCCCTGCTGCTGGGGGCTGCCCTCCCACAGCCTGTGCACCAGAGGTGATGGCATTTCCCCTCCTCCTACTCCTTCAAGCCCTGGTACCTGCAGAGGTACCCCACGGCTCCTGACATGGGTCTGACACTTGTGGCACTAAGAGCTTTAGAGCTGGCCAGGCTGGGTGGAAGAGACGCAGCACATGGGAACTCTTGTGCTAGCCTGTGTAAGTGCTGTAGGACCTCAGCTCACTCCTGCCCCTGCGTTTTCCTCTTAGGGTCAGCTACTCGGTCCCTGAGGACTTCTCTGCTCCCTTGGAGCTTCCGCAGAAGCACTTTGGCCTGGTGGATGGTACAGTGCTCTCTTTGTTCCTCTGAACCTCCTTTCCATGCGCTCACCCCTCCAGGTGGGCAGTTGTCCCTAATCCCAGGTGCAGCTGGGCCAGTGGCTCTGCTCTGCCCACAGATTACGGCATCAAACCCAAGCAGCCGCGCTTCCCAACCCGGGCGGCTCGGGAGCGGCCGGCGGTGCTGCGCAGAGCTGGCAAAAGCAAGCGCGATGGTCTCGACCTGCTGGAGTACTACGATGATGCCCAGCTGTGAGCCAGTGTGCCCCCGTGCCCACCACAGCCCCACAGGTGAGGGCTGGAGCAATAACCCCCAGAGGTCCCTCCTGATCATCATACGATCTCTGGCCTCCAGGGATTGCAGCCAGGGCTCTTGGACCAAACCCGAGAAGCTCCAGCTTCTTTTGGGGTCCCAAGGGAAGGAATGAGCCAGGGCCCAAACCCACTGAAGAGGGACACAAACGGCACAGTAGCTCCATTCCATGAACCATCATATTTAATAGTTGTTGCCACCACAGCAGATCCAGCTGAAGCACAGAGACCACTTGCTGCAGGGACCGGGAGAGCTCTGCTAATCTCCCTGGTGCTTTGCACAGCTCCCTGCAGGCTTTAGCCCTTCCCTGCCCTGCTTTGGGCAGGCACCCAGCTCTGTGCAGGGGCTGAGCCCCACTGCCCTGGGGTGCTCCAGCACTCCCCCTGCCTCTGTCACCTGCAGCTGGGGGGAGAGGGGAAAAGGGCAGAGAAAGGCTTCCCTCCTGAGGGTATAGTTACTGCAGGGAGGTATGGGGGCATTTTTCTCTCTCCCCAGGGCATGGATACAAGAAGGAAGGGATGGGGACAGAGGCAGGAGAAAGCTTTCTCATCTCCTTCTGGCTCTGGCAGAGGAGATACTGGGGCTCCCTCTGCCATCCCTGCCCAGCAGCCATGTCCCCAGGGCCCAGCAGGGAGGTGATCCCATCTCCCAGCAGGAGCCAAAATATGGGTCTTGTTTTCTGTAGCTGCTGTGTCATCATACTGCAAGAGATTGACTCTGCCACTGCAATTAAAAGTCACCCCAGATGGATGTGATGGGAAGCTGTGCCATGGTCACAAGGAGGAGATGCTGTCACCCCAGCCTGCAGCTGGAAAGGGCAGGAGCATGCTACTGCCCCCCCCAACCGCTCACAAGCAGGGCACCCAGCAGGTGCTTCTCCAATAGAATAAACTAAGAGTATTTTGTACAATAAACACAATTTGTCCAGCCCTCCCCCCTCCCGTCCCCCCAGCCCGAGGAAGGGGAGTCACAAAAAGAGGCGGTGCTCCGTGCCCCGGGGAGCCCTGCCCGGGCCCGCTCCTCCTCCAGGCTCAAAGCAGCTCTTGTCCATGCACGACACGGGGAAGGGGCGAGACTGCAGCCCTGGCTGTGCAGGAGGTGCCTGTGCCAGCCCCTACTCCAGGTAGATGTCCTCCGTGGGGCACGTGTACTCCACATACTCCTTGTAGAATTGCTGAAAAGCCCTCCTGCAACAACAGCACCAGGCAAAGCTGAGCAGCATCCTCCCCCCAAGGCAATTACAGATCCCCACTTCCATCCTCATCCTAACACCCTACCCTGTAGCCAGTTTGACCCTCCAGCCCTCCGGTCCCTGGCCCCTCCTGCATTCACCCCCAGAGCTGCCATCAGAGCTGCAGGGTCTCCATCCTTGCTCTGATTCCCTGCACAGTGCATGACTTTAAGACATCTGCCTGTAAAGCCCTGCACTGGGACTTGTTCCAGTGCTGTCAGGAATATGATGCCCATAGCCCTGTCAGTCCTGGCTCTCACCCCAAGCCTCTCATTCAAAAGAAGAGGTGCCAGCCAGGTCCAAGCCCCATGCATATGGGGAGATGGATCAGCCTGGCTGCCTTGTTCCTCCTGCCCTTCGTGAAATAGCCTTCCCTGCCCAGCCAGGACTCACCCTACAGATTCTGCCAGTGGCTTCGTGGACTCCTCCGAGACGAAGACATGACAGGCAAATCTGTGGTCAGCAGGGTGCTTGGTGATGAACCCAAAATATCTGAGGGCAGAGAGAGCAGGTGTGACTGAACCAGCAGATCAGCAGGCATAGTACCCCAGCATCCCTGAGGTGTACCCACCCTTAGACATACAGGTTTGGAACCTGCAGCCAATCCCCCTGGTGGCCACCAGCTGCCACAGCCCATGCCCAGAGCTGGGTGTAATGCCCATCCAAAGGTGCTAGGAAACCTTCTCTTTCCTTCCTAGCCCAGTCTTTGCTACTCTCAGTGAGCAGGAAGGCAGCAAAGCCTCTGCATCGCTGCTTCTTTGCTACTCACTTGTTGTTCTTTGGATGGTACCCACAAAAGGAAATGTTCTTCAGCTGGAAAAAATGGCTACACTTGTTTACCTGGGGGGGAGAAAGAGAAGAACTGTCAAAATTTCCCTCTCATGCCCCTATGGGGCAGCTGGTCTCTGGAAATGTGCACTTGGAGACTGAGGAGTGAAATTAATTGGAGCCTGATCCTGGGCTGCTGTCAGCAGCAGTTTCAGGATTGCCCCAAGCACCTGCACAAAGAGAGCTTTTCCAGGCCTGCCGGCTCCCACTCCAGCTGCCTCTACTGCCAGTAGCTCCTGCAGGGTTTCCCTAGAGGCCCTGAGTTAGACTATACTCAGGCTAGAGTCAGTGCTGCTGTTCACCAGCATACACGACCCTTTTTTCTTGCTAAACAGGCTCTCAGAAACACCAGCAGATAGAAGGTGAACGGACAACTTAAAACCAAACAGGTAATTCAAGCCTAGGTATCCAAGGGGTCCCAACCAGAAATGAAAACTTATTTATACAAGTCTAAAGTGCAACTAAATTGATAGCATCCTCTAGATACAGGCAAGACTTATCTAGAAAGAAGTAGAAGCCCCAGCCCAGCTCAGTCACAGCACTCAGAGGCATGAACTACTCCTATCCCACAGCTGTAGGGGAGATTTCCCAACAGCTTGCTGCAAAGCCCTCACTTGCCTCTGCCTAGCATCTAAACTAGCTTTACTAGGCTACTTATGCAGAATGCTAATCAGCAGCCTGCCCTAGCCAGATAAAGAGATTACAGGGCAGATCTGGAGGACACCACTCAAAATAGTAGCAGAAAGGTTTAAAAGCAGCTGACAGATTACTGGGTACAGCTCAGCTTGCAGCATCCCAGCACAGCGACATGCTTGGCAGCTGCGAGGGCATCAGCTGGCAGTATTGCCCAGAGCTGGGACCTTGTGAGGCATGGGGGACCCTGATGCTGGGCCTAAAACCCTGATGATGGTGTTTCTCACACCCTCACCCATGGGGTGGAGACCCTCAATTTTCATATGCAAACATGACCTATAGCACAGGGGCCACGACCCAGCTCAGAGCAGCCATCAGGGAAGGGATGAGACGAGCAGGGAGCGGGGCACTACCTTGCTGTGTTCCTTGGAGTCGTCAGCTTTCACAGCAATCTTGACCCCACGCACACTGATCTCCAGGACACAGCTGGAGGGTGGGTTAAAGTGCACAGTGAGGCGGCGCGTGGTGGCAATCTGAGGAAGACAGAGAGACAAAGCCCTGGGACTTTTGAGCAGTGCTGATGGCTCATCCCTTCCCTTCCCCACTAAGGCTCTGCCCTGCTGCCACAAGAAGCAGGCGCTCCTGCTCCCGAGGATGCTGTGGGACACTACCTTCTGCATGGCCGCGCAGAGCACGTCATTGCCCTTGTGATAGGGAACCTGCACCGAGCCAAGGAACTTCACCCGAAACTGGTCCACCCAGTCACTGCTCTTGGCCAGAGCTGGAAGAGAGAGCACATGGCAGGGATCATCTCTAATGACCAGGTGTGTGGGTTGAGCTCCACCTCCCCGCTCCATCTTCCAACACCTGCATGTTTCCATGCCCAGGGAATGCTTCCTGCAACACTAGGTACCAACACCCAGCATCACAGCAGAAGCTGCCCATCACTCCCTGCTGGGTGCCCAGCTTGGTCCTCCCCTGCTAGCCCTGCTCAACACCAGCCACTGCTCAGTGGAGAGGATGTGAACACAAGACAGGGACATGAGCAGGCTGCATGCAGAGGCTTGGTACCTGTTACATGGTCTGGGTCCTTGGTGACTTCAATAGCGTAGTAGGCAGGAAAAATACCCCGATCACCTGTGCGCATGTTGTATGCCTCATACCAGTAATCTTCCGCCTGCACCTCCACCAGCAAGGGATCATCCACCTCCAGCTCCAGCTCATCCGCATGGCGAGGCACAAACCTGGGTAGAGAGGCACTAGCAGCTGGCTGGCAAACAGTGCTGGTGGCCTTCTCAAGGGCACACTGCTGGGGCACCCACCACCACTCCAGGCAGGCAGCACCCTCATAGATGTAATGAGCCACCAGGACCCAAGATGCTAAACAAAGCATTGGAGCAGGTTAAGGTTCAAAAGGTGGCGGCATCCTGGCACCTAAGGCAAGGGTATCCCCCATTGCAACCTCCCATGATGCTCCCCAGAGGTCTCAAGTGCCCCTGGAGGGCTTGCCCATTGCATGGGCAAATGTTGCTCCTTGGCAGGGCATGAGCTACAGGCACTGGTTTGTTCCCCAGGGCTTCCCACACTGGAAACACTGGGGCTTGTGCTAGCCCCACCTTGGTGGGAGAGCAGCACCAGCTTTCCCCTGCAAGAGGCTGGGGACCCTGTTTGTGCCTGCAAGCTCACCTAAAGACGGCGCGGTGAGTCTGCTCCTGCTCCTCCCCGTTGATCATGCAGGAGAACAACCCAAAGGACTCGGCACCTGTGGACGAAGGCAGAGGAGGACATCTCAGCATTGAGGGCTCAGCATCGCAGCCAGGGGAAGGACATGGGCTGGGCAGGCTGCTGAAACTCCTGCGGGATGGCTCAGCCAAAGCCACACAATGCCACAGGAGAGGGAGGCACGGCTAGAGCTGCCACATTGGTGCTCATCAGTCCCCGCGGGTGAGATGACCTCCCTGCACCAACTCACACAGTTGTGACAGCTGGTATCACCTTCTGTGTGGGACAAGCCACACCATGAGAAGCCCTACCTGCCAGGGCATGCCACCAGACCTGGTGTTCTCCTAGGCTTGGGGATGAGGGTAGCACACCAGGAGGCTGCTCCCTCCAAGCCACACCAGGAGCCTCCCCCTCAGCCCCCTATGGCCATACCTTGGGCAAGCCAAATAAGCAGCCTGGAACACCTACCACCACTCCAACCTAAAGCTCACAAGGCTTTAGGTTGAGCCCCTCTCCCCCATGCCTCGCAGACCACCAGAGACAAAGCCACAGGTCGCAACAAGTAGAGCTGGGGCTCATGTCTGCTGGTGGCTTCCCACCTCCTGAGTGTGTCCTTAGCCTTGTACCAGGGACGGGCAGGGCTGCCCAGGGAGGCAGCCACCAGCCCATCTCCCCCTGGTGTCCAGAACTCACTGGAGGAGCGTGCCCGTCCACTCATGAAGACATTGAGGAACTTCTTGGAGAAGTGGATGTCCGCCTCGGGGGTGGAGTCCTCAGAGAGGCAGACTGAGTCGCGCTTTAACGCATCCTCCTCGTACTCCTCGCCGATGGCTGACTCATAGGGTGAGGAGATGCAGTTGTCATAGACTGTGGCCGAGTCACTCTCGTCGCTGTAGCCCGAGTAGCACTGCTTGAGGCTGACCAGCTCCAGCTGCACATTCTCATCCACTACCAGCGTGTATTTGACAGAGTCGTAGGAGAGGGCACTGGTGTCTGAACTCACTGAAGCTCTCTGAAGGTTGTGCCCTGGCCGGGAGCCACCACTCCCACCACCACAGGAGGCCCTGGGCAGGTTTGTCTTGTCAGGGGAGGACATGTAGTCCAGCACCTCGTCCTCCTCACTGATGGAGGGGTTAGTTTTCCCTGCCAGGGCTGAACAGCTGGAGGTGTCAATGTCAGAGCTGATGGACATGCGGTTCTCACTGGACTGAGACAGGAACGGCTTGTCAGTGTCCAGGGGGTCCGAGTTCTTCTGCACAGGCGTCAGGTAGATCTCCTCTGTGGCCTCCAGCCTCACATCTGTCTGGTAGCGGATGCGGTCCCGGTGGGCCTCGGGGCCCCTCGTCACCACCACCACGCTGGCACCATGTGGTGGGGCCCGGCTGGTGGCCTGGTGCTTCTCGGGCAGCCG